TGTTACAACAAATGGAAAACATATATATGTATAAACATATTAATAATGTATCTTCATTTTAAAAGCCCGACTCAGCCAGGGTGCATGTAAAAGCTATGCAGCACTGAGTCAGAGCCCACTAGAAGATTTGGAAATAATTAATTGCTTATACTCCATGAAAAAAAAAAATGTGTTTCTGTGCAACCTAAAAATAAAGAGTTTATTTAAAAAAAGCAAAAATTTAGTTCCAAATGTACACAGGTCCAAGGAGGAATGAATGGAAATAAGGACAGTAAACTGAGGTTTTTAAACATCAAGTTTTATTCAATTTAAACAACTGTCCTTTCGTGTGAAATCACATCCTTACTGTTCAGTATTAAAATGTGTTTCTTCTAGAATGACAGTAGTAGGAGGGCAGAAAAAGCTCTGCTTGACCAAATAACGCCGGGACCAGATGTCTGTCTCTCCTCGGTGTTTTTGTTTGTGTTTTCACTGCTCTGCAAAACCCCAAAGCGCAAGGCCACTGTTCTAGAATGTCTAGGGACTCTATTTGTATCCCTTTAAATCAGAAGAGTGCTGGGTACCAGTTGGCAAAACATACACAGAGCTTCAAAATGTTCCTCTTCTCTTTAATCTCATATCAATATATCGAAGAACTTCTCACCTAAGGGAATCATCAGAGATACCCCAAAGGAAACCTGTGATTAACAATTTTTCTTTGTAACATTATTTATAACAGCAAAAAGCTATAAACAATTCCAACGGTCTAACAAGAAAATGTGAAACACGGGGCAGCTGGGTTACTACACCATCCAAAACCACGTTTTCAGAGACTATTTAACAGTAAAGGAGAATAACTTCATTGTAACGGTAAATCACAAAAAAAAGGGTACAAATCTATAAACAGCAGCATGCATGCACGAGCATGCTCCCACACAAACAATACACAGTAGAAAGAAATATGCCAAAAATGTTAACAATGGAGATCTCTGAGCAGCGGGATTATTGCAGATTCTTGCTTCTTTACAGTTCTCTGCATTCTAAGATTATTCTACAATAAACATGCATCATTTTTATAATCACAAAGAAAGATTACTTTTTTTTTTTAAAGATTTTATTTATTTATTTGAGACAGAGAGAATGAGAGAGAGAGAGCACATGAGAGGGGGGAGGGTCAGAGGGAGAAGCAGGCTCCCTGCTAAGCAGCGAGCCCGATGCGGGACTCGATCCAGGGACTCCAGGATCATGACCTGAGCCAAAAGCAGTCGCTTAACGAACTGAGCCACCCAGGCGCCCAAGAAAGATTACTTTTAAAAGGCTGTATCCTATTTATTTAGCTTCCCATAGCCAATGTCCTCTTTGGGCAATAATATCACACTCTGACCACTCCTTTTTTCTTGGCCTGATAGAGTTTCTCCTTCTTTCTTTAAACATACCTTAAAGGCATTCTCTTTCATGAAGTTCAATATATCCTTCTGGAATGTCTAAGTTTGTTTCCAGGAAAAATACTTTCCCTTTTTCCTTTTTTTTTTTAAAGTAAGTTTCCAAAAGTTCAGATTGTAAAACAAACACTGCTGAAAAAAAATAAGCAATTCACTTTCATTGCATGATCAAGACAAGTTGAAAGACTTTTACAAATGTACAAAGTCTAACCTTCTAGAATTGTGAATTAACTGTCTTTGATTCAATTACCCAACTTTTCAGTTTGAATCAATTAACTGAAAAAATTATTAACAATTCCTATGTGCCTATCCCTATCCTAGGCGTTATGATGGAATATAAAAGAATTATATGGCATTGCTCATTCTCCCTCTCCTGACTGATAAAAAGTGGTACATCCTCTAATTAGACAAGAACAGCTATGCATACATCACTCAGGGTTCCACTTTTGCCTAGGGGACAAAAGGAAGCTCAGAGCCAAATTCACTGCTAAATCATAGTGAGCTGTCCTCTCTTTAACTTTCTGGTATAATTCATGGGCTTTGTAAGGGCAGTGGCTGAATTCTGGTTTTTGCTCTATTTTCTGCATGCTTTGTACTGTACCTGGTAATAATAACATGTACTGAGTGCTGACCACATCAGGGGCAGTGTGCTAAGCATTTTATATGCACTATTCCACTTTCCCTCCTCAACAACCCTATTGGGTGGGGACCACAACCTTCACTAGCACAATACATGTCTATGTATTATAAAGATGTGAACGAATGGGTGCAGAAAATGCCTCCTCATCTTCTTTTATGTTTGTATTCATGTTATCACATTAATGTCCTTTAAAAAACCCATATCCTTCGCAGAACAGGCCAGGGAGGTCATAATGTACCTTGATGTGTTTTGCCTGCCCAAAATCCTTTCTCCTTTCTTCACGTTACTGCATTTTGATTTCTCTTTCAGGAACCATGTCTCCCCGACTCTCAGTGTGCATGGTCTGTGCAAGGCTACACACACACACACACACACACACACACACACACGTAGACACACCCCTCTGGGAAGGTCACATGCCCCCTAGGTCTGACCAGTGAACATTCTCCTGATGACATCAGGTGAGTCACTGAATCCAGGGCCCAGAATAATCTGAACCTAGTCCTCATCCCAGACTTTTCTGTGATCAAAGTCAATATGTTTTCTTTTATATTTAAATCAGTTTGCATTGGGTTTTCAGTCACTTTCAACCAAAAGCACTATGACTAATAGAGAAATAGGTCTTTTTTTTTTTTTTCCAGTAAATGTAGGACTTCCACTTCTGGCAATATGGAGGATTTATAATGCCTGGGGAAACCCGCTGGAAAAAATACTTCAAAAAAAAATCTTTTAAATGCATGGCTCAGCTTACAGGAAAGGAAAAAAAAAAGTCCTCAGAGTCCAGGAACAACAAGAAAATACAAATCTAGATATTAGAGTTATGAGACACAGAGCATAAGTATGCTTAAGATGCTTAAATAAATAAAAGACACCCTCGAATGAATGACAAAGAAACAAGAATGATCGGCAAATCTCACTCAGGATTGACATCTCACAGCCATGGTGCAAGTCAGGGGACAATGGAATATTCTCTTCAAATGCAAAACTACCAATATAGAATTACATACCCAAATAAAATTATCTTTCAAGAACAAGAGCAAAATAAGAACATTTTCAGATAAGTAAAACTGAATTCACAACATTGACTTTCTCTACAATAATGAATACATGACATGCCAGGAAGGAAAAGAACCCCAGAAAGTTCTCTGAGATCCAAAGACCACCCAGCATTCAGGAATGAATGAAGGGCAGAAAAAAATGATAACCTGGTGGGTAAATGTAAACAAAAAAATACCACATTTTTTAAATGTTTTAATGTGTTGGTTTAAAAAGCAAAACAGAATTAAAACCCTGGAGTAAAATGGCACATAAGTTGGGAAGGAAGGTGACCAATGTTAAAGCACCCGAAGGTCCATAGCTAGTGATTAACTTTAGATCCTGCTGACTTGAATATGTACTTTCAAATTGACTGCTAAAGATAAGAATAAACAATAGAACTGCCAAATTAGTAGAGAAGAAAAAGTGGAATAAGAGGGGGAGAGAAAAACTTCTATCGACTCAAAAAGCAGCATAAAAAAAAAAGAAGGGGAAAGCAAAAACAATTAGAAAGTATAAAATAAGATGGCATAATCCAAATAATCAGACCTAAAGTGTCTTGTAAGTACGAGAAAAAAAAAAAATATATATATATGGACATACTAGTTAAAAGTCAAAGATTGTCAATCTGGATGTTATCTTTAATGACCACACAAAATCAAGTGACATGCTATTTAGAGACATGCCTACAACATAAGGACACAGAATGAATGAGAGTAAAGGGATAGAAAAAGGTATCAGGAAAATACTAACTAAACCTAACATGTTCTGCAGACTGAAAGCACTGATTCAAAGAAAGGATGTTACTCTGATAACCGCAGATGGGTCTGGTAAAAATTAATAAAATAACCTGCGGTTTACAACCTCGTTGGGGAAGCAAAGAAACATCAGTCTAATCTCCATACCATGGGTGATGTTGTTCCAAAGATACCGTCGTTATGAGAACAGTCAGGCAGGCTACCTCTCTGCAAGAAGGGAAATCCTAACCAATTCCCTCCCTCCTGCCAACCCCAGCAAGACACGCTTTCTTTTGCTGAATTACCTATTTAGAGCTATTTTGAAACTCTTCACCATCCCAGCACCCAAGTCCTGACCCCTGAACTCAGATGCACATCTGCAAGTATAGCATTAATGAGGCTAACACCAGAGCAAGCATTCAAGGGACACCTATGTATTGTTGGCACACTTTCCTAAACAGCTGTTCAAAATCCCTCTGCTATGGCAGGGAACGTCTGATGTTCACACGTGGCATCTCCATCCACGTGCCCCAAGGGCACTGTCACTCCACAGTGTCTTTCTCACTTGCTAAATGGCTCAGAATGCAAACAAGAATGACATTATAGTGATTATCTCAAGGCTTCTCTGAGCTATAAAAACTGAAACTCTTTGCAAATATTGGCACATTAGCAATCATTTACTCGTGACACACCTTACAACTGACTGTGATGTCATCACTAGTTTCAACGACAGGCCATCTGTTTTGAATCCCTACTTTGCCTAATTCTGGTATTCTCCCACTTGCTCAAAAGCACCCACCCTTAATCTTCTGAGTAATTTAAACCCCACGGACTCTAAGACAGTAGCTTTCAACCCTAGTTGCACATCAGCCTCAGCCTAGGCCCTACCTACAGAAATTCTATTTAATTGTTCTGGGGAAAGTCCTTGGCATCAATATTTCTCAAAGTTCCCCTAGGCCACAAATCCAGCTTTCTGGCTCCCCACTTTGGCCTACTGCCATCTCGGAGTGAAAGTTCCATCTCCTTGCCTGGCTCAAAGGAGATGGTGCTTGTGAGTTCTGCAACAGAAATAACAGAAATAAAGCTGTGCTCTAATCCACTGGCCTGTGAATTATCAGACTCACAGAAGAGCTGGGGTCTACACCAAGTTGCAAGGAATTAGAGCCAATGCTGAAGCATCTCTATGGGTCTGGCCTGTCCAAGACAGCGGACACAGTCTCAAGGCTTGCAGTCGCCAAGAAGAAGAAGCCAGAGTCCCTTGGTAGTTCCCGACTCCTTGCCTATGGTAACAGGTTCATCCACTGTAGTATAAAGCCCAGTTAAAAATGCGTGTGAACCTATGTACATACCCATGTTTGAATATGTTCTCATTCACATACCCATACACGTATTTTTCAAAATCTATTTCTATACCTGGAAAAGTCTAGAAGAATACACAGCAAAATGTTGACAGTGGTTCTCCTGGGGCAGTAGGTTTATAGATGATTTTTATTTATTTATTTATTTTGCCTCTCTGTATATGCCAAAATTTCTAGAGTGAACATGTATTGTTTTTATAATTAAAATAAATAGATAAATCATTGCCTGCATCCCAAAAGGGAGGAGGGAAGAAAAGATCTGGGTTTTAGATCAGCTCTGCCCCGGATCTGCATGTTACTTTGGGGGCACGGCTTTTACTCTCTGGTTAGACTGGATCTCCCTCAGGGCCTTTCCCTTTCTGACATTCAAGGATCTTAACCATCCCTCTGCTTATCAGTTAAAGTCCCAAGGGACTCCCCCACATGCACCGCCACTCCAATTATAAATTTATATTCTGCCATTCTGATTTCTCAGGCTAAAACCGCAGACCCTGATTAGGTGCTCACCTTTGTATGAACTATAATAAAAGTGAGTCTCAGGGCGCCTGGGTGGCTCAGGTGGTTGGACGTCTGCCTTCGGCTCAGGTCATGGTCCCAGGGTCCTGGGTTCGAGCCCCGTATCAGGCTCCCTGCTCAGCAGAGAGCCTGCTTCTCCCTACCCCTCTACCTGCCACTCTGCCTACTTGTGCTCTCTTTCTATCTCTCTGTCAAATAAATAAATAAAATCTTAAAAAAAAAAAAAAGTGAGTCTCCATAAAAGGCCCTGACCTTACGGGCCACACTGAAGTTATGCCTCACTGCCTGGCCTGGCTGAGAGCAATACAGATTAAGCTCACCTTTCTCTCCAGCTAGGCAACAATAATCCAACAGGCCTTGCTGCAGGAATTAAAGGCAGGAGGCATTCATACTTCTTATTACGCTGGGTTTGGATTAACTTCCCAGAGTCAATGCAACAGCAGGATCTATAAGCAAATCCTGATAGGACACAGGGCAGCTGTGTCACCATGGAGACGGGATACCATACGCCCACAGGTTATCCACTGTGTTTGAAAGAGATTTCTCAACCTGGGACAATAAAGGAAGCTGGAACCCGGAAAAGAAACACTTTACAACCAATCCCTGGATGACTCTTAAAAGCGACCTCCTGAGTACCTCGTTGGCAACAGGGAAGGGGGGGAAAACCTAGGAAGAATTGAGTGCACAGTGTGTTCGATGTTTTATTAATTCCTAGGCTGTGTTATTTTTACTCATTCCTTATTTTGCAGATAGGGAAAGTGGAGGAAACTGCTACCAACACTAACAAAGTTCTACTCAAAAAGAGTAGACAGTGTAGTAACAGTGAAAATGCTTCAGACAAAAGCATGAGGCTAGACATGAACAGACACTGGAAAATAGGGAGGACCGTGAAGCCCAAGTCCTTCCCAGCTCTGCCAAAAGGGGGTGGGGAGCAACTCCTGGAGCAGGTATTCATGCTTTCCCTAGCCAAGGATTCACCCCTCCCCAAATCCTGAAATCAGCACAATGCCTAGGGGGCCAAGAGGGTTCCATCCCCCCCAGCCAGTTCCACCACTTTCCAGCTGTGGGGCCTTAGGTGAGTCACTGTCCTCCCTGAGACCTTTGCCACACCTCTAAAGCAGGCATGCCAGGGAACCGGGAGGAACAGCAGGTGCTCGGTGCACACAGGAGGCTGCCCCACTGGCTATTCCCTCCTCCCCC